GATTGAGCCCACTTCTTTCGCTGGCTGGTGGAATCGCCCCCTGTATTGCCACCGGTGATCATGAGGATGTGGCGTTTTTTCTCCTGGTAGTGGGGGTACTTCCCCTACCTCTCGATGGCCGTCTTTAGCTGATGGCAGTCATCGGTTCTGTGCCCCTGGTGTCGATGGAAGCGACAGTATGGGAACTGAGGGTTAATAGCATGTACCTCCGGGGGTGCGCGGGAATCGCGCTCAACGAGGCCCCTCTCCTCGGCGAAATCAAGAATGATGCTGACGGGGTGCGTCAATGGCGTCCGAGGGCGGTCCAGGAGAATGGGCTGTGCCCAAGTCTTAGGGCTGCTCTTATAGCCTCCCCCGGGCTTGGCTTGGCCTTGCCGAGGGCGGTCATCAGAGGGTCCCGAAGCCTTAGGGTGATTTGGAGGAGCCCCCGGCCCTCGGTTGTTCTTGTTGTCAGCCCTCGGGGGCTGCTAGTCCGGATGCTGGTGATACTTCTCCACCTCCTCGGCCTCAGCATATCGGTCCCCCCGCTGTAAAGCCCTTATGTAGTCGCGGGGGGGGGGGGGGGGGTTCAATGATGAGGCTCCTTGAAAAGTTGCCGGTGCGGAGGACGGTTTGTAGGAGGGCAAGGAGGGTCCTGTCATCAGCCCCGTCGACCTTGTCGGCCTCCGTCCTCCAGCGCTCCAGGAAGTCCCGAAGGGTCTCATCCTTCTTCTGGCGTATGGTCAGGAGGTGGGAGAAGTGCTTCCTTGTGCGACGCCTCCCGACAAATTGTGTCAAGAATCGCTGGGCGAGTTCTTGCCACGAATCAATGCAGCCCTCGGGCAGCCTGTTGAACCATTCGTATGCAGGCCCCTCTAAGGTGGAGAGGAACCAACGACACAAATATTCGTCTGACGCCCCTACCATCATCATGCTGTTCTGGTATTTGCTGTAGTGTTCCTGGGGGTCCGTCTTCCCGTTGTAGGGCTGTATGTGTTGCCCTCGGTATTTTTCCGGGATCCGGGCCGCCAATACCCTTGGGGTAAATGGCGTCCGAGTCCGGAGCTGGATGACGGGTTCCCCGGAGCCCTCAGCCACCTTCTTCTGTAACTCCTCCATTTTGGCCATCATGGCCTCGTATTTGAGATCTGAATGAGGGGTGGAGGTGGTGGCGTGGGCTTTGTTGGACTCCATTTCGTCAAGCCGGCGTTGGAGGGCCGCAATAATTTCGTCCCGGGGATCCTTCGGGAGGGTCTCCGCCCCCTGAGAAAGAACCCGGGCCGAGTGGACCTGGTTGATTTGGTGGCGAGCATCATTGGCATGAAGGGGTGCCTTGCCTTTGTCCCGAGGGGGACGCTCCTCGTCTGCCCTCGAGACAGACCCTCCACTTTCCTGGGGCCTTTGGAGTGCCTTTCCTCCGAGGCGGTCTTGGACCCCTCGGCGGTCTGGCCCTCCTCCGAGCCGGTTGAGGGCGGAGGTACGGGGCCTCTCCCTGTTGTCATTGTGGCGGTCCCGGGACTGTACTTCCTGGGAGGACGTATCTTGGGCCATTACCCCTTCGTCAATTCTCACCTGAGGGGTGGGATTTCCGAAGGGGTGTGGCAGAGGGGGAAGTATGATGTTTTCCCCAACCTGGGGGTGAGCCGGAGCCAGGGTGCCGAAGGAACCCGGGTTCTGAGTGAGCGTTTGGATGAAGGCGGAGAGCGCCGATTGCACGTCGATGGTGAGAACCGGAGGGCTGACTTGGTCATCGCTCCGATTTTTCTTTTTGGCCTCGATGCCGAGGCGGGCATCGGGGGCATTTTGTTGGATCTGAAGGCGTAGGTCGACAGCCGCCTGTTCCAGCCCAGCGATGACACCGCCCTCGGGAGCCCTGTGAGAGGCTTCGGGGGCGTTGACGTCGCCGAGGGCCAGGTTCTTGTCTTCTACGTTCTTTGAGTTGGCACGTGTTGTTCTCACCATTTTTGGTAGAGGGCTAGTGTTTTGGCGAAGGGGGAGGGTTTCTTACTCGATTGTTCGACCTCTCAACGAGAGCACCAAATGATGGATAGTCTACCCGGGGGTATATATCCGAAGGGTTATTGCTGGGAATAACTTAGAGAGAAGTCAGAGCAAGTAAATGTAGAGAGAGAGAGTGTATTATAAATGTGGAGCGTTTTCAGTGTGGTTACAAATGGGGAAATGAGGTGCTATTTATAGTAGCAATAAATGTCGGACAGGGATACGTGTCAAGCGCCCATTGGCCGGGGGGTCACCTCAACTGGTTGGCGCTGGCAGCCGCATGTGGCCGCATTTAATGCGGCTGTTCGATGGGACGTCTGTGCAGGGTACGGTGATCTGTACGCATGTGAGGCGGATATCTTGTCGAGTGAGATGCCTTCGACTATAGAGCAAAAGCCGAGGGCTCCTCAAACCGATGGCACCCTGGTGCCGAGGGCTCACAGTGCCGAGGGCTACTGTTTTCGCCGTTTTCTGCCAGTTTCTCTGTTTGTTCGAAACACCCATGCTGTGATAGTTTGGAGCCTTCGGCCAGGGGGCCGAAGGCACCCCTGGTGCGTACTGTGGGCTGTTTGGTACTCTGGGCGCCGTGATTTGGGCCTGTTGGGCCTGTTGGGCCTTCTGGGCCTGTTGGGCCTCTAAAGGAGTAGTAGGAGTCTGTGGGCCGGGTGTTCCCGGGCCATATACTCCATCAACACTTTTTCTACTTTTTAAGCCAAAAGCTAAAAATCTTTTTTTTGCAAACGTACCCTTAATTTGAAATTCTTCAAATAAACAGTGAAAACAATACGTAGTACTATCGTATAAGGGAAGGCATCAAAACGTATTTGAACCGTAGATGAAGATGCTTTTAGGTTGGACAATAATTTGAAAACACTTTTTAAAATTAAGGATGTTTTTAATGAGTTACTCCTTCCGTCCGATTTTAAAGGTTCCCACGCGGTTTACGATGTTTGACTGACCATAAAGTTAACTGATCTCTATCATTAGTTGAATTATTTTGGTAAATAAAATTTACATATTCAGAAACTAAATTAAAACCGCTACAAAGCCTGATAAAAAAATTAAATTTAATAAAAGTTGGATATACAAAGTAGAAGGTTAAGAACAATGCACGTTAACCGTAGAATAGTGGACGAGAACCTTTAAATGGGACGGAGGGAGTATAATTTTAGTCTCGTTTGGTCAATTAGAATGCTTTGATAAAGCATGTACATAGAATATGAAATCAAGTTTGATTAGTGTTGGACTCGGGTCGGGCCACCCGACCCGTGGACCGGCCCAGCCCGCTACTGTGCGGGACCGGGACCGGCCCGGTTCTCGGGTCCGGGTCCGGGTCGGGCCTAGGTCCAGGGGGTAGGGCAGGTCCAGGCTCAGGTCTCACATTTGGCGAACCGGCCCGGTTGGTTCGGGACCGGGCCAAATTGATTTTTTTTTTCATTTTTGGGGTTCCATCCGGGTTGGGCTTGATGGTTAGGATGGGTTTGGGGGGGGGGGGGGTTGGGAGGGGGGGATGAGGGGGGGGTTAGGAAATCAAAAAAAGAAATACTCAAACCGGAGGCCCAGCCCGGCCAGGCCCGGACCCGGATCGGACCCGGTGGCTACCCGGGCCGGTCCCGGGTCCACCATTCCTGAACCGCCAGCCTGCCCGGGCCTAGGCCCGACCCGGACCCGGCCCGGACCCGAGACCACCCCTAAGTTTGATATTGAAATCAGTTCATCTATAAACATCGTAAGTTGGAATAGTTACGGATCACATGTTTTCACGCGTCAATAAATTTTTGAATTTATTATGCTCCTAAACTAGATTTTATTCATCTCATACCTCCCCATCGATATATCATAATTTTTGAATTTATTATGCCCCAATTTTTTTATTTTTATTTTAGTATTAAAATGGAGTAATATATAGATCCATCATTTTTTCATTGGTCCTTTTATTGTTTTTAGTTCTTTTTAATGAGTATTCAATTGATTTGACTATAAGTATAGAATTGATATTTTTTTCAAAATATTTACTCTCTTCGGTCTTAAATAAAGTTCATACTTTCCTTTTTGGGCCGGTCCAAAATAAAGTTCACACTTCTTCTCCCTTCCTTATTTGACAAATTATCTACATCAAAACAGTGTCAAACAGTGTTACAATAGTGTACTCTATTTTGGGCGTCCCAAAATAAACTTCCACTTTCCCTTTTTGGCAATGAATTTGTGATTCACAGACATTCTTACACATTTCTCTCTCACCTGCACAACTCTCCACCAGACAATACTCACTATCTTAATCCTCGTGTCATTTGTACTATGGAAGTAAATTTAAGGACGGAGGGAGTACCGGTTTCTCTATTATAAAGTCAGAAGAGGTTTAAGATATGACAAAACATCTAATATGTGGGATTAACTTAATAGGTGGAAAACTTTTGTTCTTGAATAAAATATATACATGAAACTTTTTTCCGATATGTGCTAGACCGACATACCTTTTTATTTTTTGTATTGCAATATGATAAAAGTTAGATATGTAAAATCATATTATTAAATAAAATTGTATTGAATGATGAAATAAAAAAATTGAACTATATGTAGTACTTCATTTTTTGACAAGGTAGTATTTTTATACAATGGTCTTAATGAGTTCAAAACAAGACCTATAATCTATATATGTCTTGAAACCGACATTGAATAATCTATTTCCGGTTAAAACTAATAATGTAAACAAACTAGACAGAATAAACCAATTCAGGGGCAGATCAAGGGTACTGGGTCGGACTAGGGCGGTGCAAAGAATATTTTTGAAAAAAATTCTACACAGAATTGTTCACCTTAAAAATTAAAAAAAAAATTTAAATTTGACGTAAGACTGTGCCCCCGCTTTAGAAAACTTATGGGTCCGCAAATGAAAACATGTGGTCGAAGAAGATGCAGTGACCGATCTTGAGAGGATGCAAATGAGGACATGTGGTCGATAAGTTTTCAAGGTTTAGGTATAAAAAAAACCGTGACACCATACTAATATAACAATGAACATACATAACCAATAGCTCTGCACTTTTTTGTATAATAAGACAAAGTTATACAAATTATACACTCACTTATACTATGTCCATTATTACAATGATCAAACAAGAGGTGTGTAGGGTTATCGAGGTTCTAGCTCTGATATAGAAACATCATTCCTAGAGCTTCTTTCAACATGACTACTAGATCGAGGTGGAGTAGAGTGTGAGTTGCTATGGGCAGCTGACAACGATGATGATGTGTGTTGATGCGTCGTAGACTCAAGAATGTATGCAGGTCTTGATGGTCTTGGCATGATAAATGAGGTGCTACTAAGCATTAGAAGCACTGTCGTCATAGTTGGTCTATTTCCCACATTTTCTTGCACACACAATAATGCAATATGGATGCACCTCAATATATCACTCGTGGAAATACTAAACAATGATATTGTGGGATCAACGAGATCCAATGCTGTTCCTTCACTCCACATTTTCCATGTCTGCAAAATACATGATTTGGAGTTAAATTATGTACTCAATTATGTACTCGATTGTGTGTGTGTGTGAATAGGTAGTAGGAACATACATTGTACATATATTGAAATTGAAATGTAAGTAAAAATACATAAATATGTACTTATCTTACATAGTTCACAAGGTCCTGCCCCGCTTCTCCACCATGAAACTTCTGAATCATTTGACCAGTGATTATCTCAAGCAACAACACTCCGAAGCTATAAACATCAGATTTGATTGAGAATTCACCGTGGAATGCATATTCTGGAGCCATATAGCCACTGTTTATGGTTAAAGATATGTTAATACTCAAAATTGTGAAGTTAAAGCTTGAGTGGTCAACCGGTTAATGTAAAATACGATTAGTGGTGGCGAAAATTTTGTTATCAAAGAGGCACTAATGTATCCAAGTGCGCTCAAAGAATAATTGAAATGTCTAAACAAAGGATAATGTGGAGGACTAATGAACTTACCAAGTTCCGACGATTCGAGTAGTGACATCTCCCGTTTGATCGTCTGATTCGAATAATCTTGCCATTCCAAAATCTGAGATTTTGGGATTCATGTTCTCATCTAATAGAATGTTACTAGCTTTGAGATCACGATGAATGATCCGAAGTTGAGAATCTTCATGAAGGTAAACAAGTCCCCTAGCTATTCCTACAATTATTTTATGGCGCATCTCCCAATCCAACCTTCCACGCTTGTGTGCATCTGCACACATGGATAAATATATTATCTCAAATGAACTAATCCCTTGAGATTTTTAATTCATATGAAAATCCATTCATCCATCACTAGGATACGAAGTTTCTGAAAAACTCTACGCACCAAATACTACGCGGTCAAGACTTGAGTTGGAAAAGAACTCATATATAAGAAGCCTTTCGGTTCCTTCCAAGCAAAATCCCATAAGTCTAGCTAGATTTCGATGTTGTAATCTTGCAACACAAATCACTTCATTCTTAAATTCATCTTCTCCCTGTTTTGAATTTCTGGACAATCTTTTCACCGCTATAGTCTCCCCGTTTATGAGCACACCCTATATCATATATAGTCAAATGATTGGTACATTGTCAGCTTAAATTAAACTACTAAAATATGAGTTTTGGTATAAATATATCTACAAAAAAATAGTAAGACCAAAATTGAATTTCTCAAAAGTCTTTTTTAATTAATATGTAAGGGCTAGTGTAAGCATTACTAGTGACACTATCCTAATATGTTAACATGGGTACTGATAATGTGTCACACATAGATCACACTGATTGCCTGATTGGTGACAATTGCAGTGTATTTTTGAAGATTTTTAAGAGAATTTCCGTTGATCGCTTTCATAGGAAATGAAATTGAGATACGTTTAAAATTTTGAAACTACTTAATCACCTTCTTTGAACAAAAGCTATTAGTAGTAAAACCTAGGGGAAATGGAAATTAATAATCTAACATTTTAGCAGTCTTTTTACAATAATCCCACATTATCGGTACTCATGAATAATTCAACCTTTGCACCTCATCTTTATTCGCTGGTCTCTGACCGGTTGATAACATGCTATTTCAGGTTTTTCATTTTCTTTGCAAATCATTTAACCATAAATCCCACCTTTCACTAATCTTCTCCATGCGGTCCCACATATCATTTTTCTTTTTTCTTCATAAAACTTTTCCTTTTTTATTTTTATCGTCTTGACTCTTTTATTCCCATTTTTGGTCTTCTTATTCTTATTTTTATTACTTTACAATTTTTTATTTGTTTTCAATGTTTATGTATTCCATCTTTATTTCTTTTTCTTCTTCTCGTTTCATCTTTACCTATCTTTACAATTATACCCTTCAATATATTATCCTGAATAACCACTCCCCCCGTCTCCTCTATTATATCGTCTGTGGCTTCACACTCATCACCGTAGCTTCATCTTTATCCCCTGCATCTTTAATTTCATTTCTCTAAATTCTCCTTCTTCTCCTTCTTCTTCATCTCCTTCTTTCTTCCACTTTCTTTCTTCACCATTTCTGTTTTTATTATGTGTATCTTTTCAAAAAAGAGACCTGAAGATACATCAATGGATAAGGCAGGGAGTGATTTCATTAGATTATGCTGTGAATTGCTATCAAATTATTTTCATGTGCGCTTTGCACGTTAGTATCAATTATTTTATTTTATTTTATTGGATTATGTTGCAAAATTATTTTTTGGGAAGAGTGTTGTAAAATTTTTATGGTGTGATTTATCATTTATCAAGATGATGAAGCCTCTCGCTTTAGACATAGCCGCAATTCATCTTTATTTTTTATTTTACTTCATTCCAATCATTTTTTTATTAATTTTAAACTTTATTAGTTTATTTATGATTAATTTTAAGTCCCAAAGTTTCAAAATTACGGTGTTATTTTTCAGTAATCACAAATGATTTGAACTTTGATTTCAAACTAATATCATTTATATGACATTACATTTAGCAGGATGACAATTCTTTACATCGACATGGCATTATCGTACACCTTTTGTATTTTTCTAATTATAAAAATGGCAAATATTGCTGATGGAGTATATGGGTCTGAGCCCCAGGACCCACATACTCAGAAGAACAGAAAGCACGAGACACTGAGTGGTGCCCTCGTCGGCCATGGGACCCCCATCGGCCGAAAGGGTGCCAACTCAGAATATGGTCCTGAGTCCAAGGGACCCAGGTGCCCTCGTCGGCCGTGCCCTCGTCGGCCACGCCCTCGTCGGCCACGAAGACCTCACAGAATCGGATTTTACACTTGCTCATTTGTGCAGCCCATTAGTGGCTTTGTATTCGGCCCAGTAGCGGTCCAGTTGTAAATGGGCCTCCCAAGCCCAAGGCTTGGGAGCCCAGCCCGTATTTTCTCTATAAATACTCCCCTTGGGAGTAGTTATAGGGGTTACAAATTCATTCTATTGAAGCATATTACTGCATTTCTCTCTCTAGCTCTCACTTCTCTCTAGATATACTCTATCATTTGGTGCTCTCGTTGAGAGCTAGAACAATCAAGTTAGCACCCTTCGTCGCTACCAAGCACAGCTAACCACTGATCATGGGAAGAACTAAATCAAACCGCAACCTCGTCAGCAAGGCCATCCCTGAGGACCAAGAGGCCAGGGAGCACGATGAGGACGCCACGGCCGACCAGGTCGGCGGAGGGGACGTCTTCCAGGAGGCCTTCAACCTCACGGCGGACCTCCGCAACCAACTCAACGGCGGAGCCCCTGATGCCTGCATCGGCTTGGACAAGAAACGAGCTGAGAAGACGGACCACGCCCCGACCCAGCCTATGGCCGCGGCCTCTCCGTCCGTGGATCCACAGGTCCAGGCCGCGCTGTCGGTCATCATCGCCAGCCTGGTTCAGAACCCCACCGTCCTCAGCGCACTCTTGCCAAGGACCGGGGGGAACGTCACTCCACCTCCTCAGCCCCAACCGTTGGCCGTCCGGATAGGCAACGATGAGGGGGTGATGGTCCAGGACACAGCGTCGTCCCACTCCCACCCTGCTTCCCCTCTTCGGCCTGGGCAGACCCCAGTGCGTGGAAAAGCCTCTGCCTTCAACAGGCTAGGTGACACGCGCCGTCGTCCGGTTTCGGAGAGGATGGCGGGACAGATTGGTGAGCCTCGGCCTGGCTCGCCGAGGGAAAGCTTGGGGTCTGTGTCCCGGACAGCGGACCAGCCCCGCCCGGACAAGGGCAAGGGGAAGTTGCACGAGGACGACGTGCGCCACTGGATCAATGCGGCTCACGACGAGCGCATGAGGAACCAGCCGGGCGCCGCTGCGGCCGCCAGGGACCCCCGGGATGAGGTCATTGCCCAGCTGGAAAGGAGGCTGGCTCAGATGGAGGCCAAGCAGTCGGCCAACATCCCTACGGCCGGCGCCTCCAACGACCCCGGCCTCAACGCGCTCATGAACAAGGTTAGCGCCCTGGAGAGGGAGCTGGCCGCGGGGCGAGGTGACCCCATCATCCAGGTCAGGACCAGGACCCCTTTCACCAACAGGGTCCTCTCGGCCCCCATCCCGGAGAAGTACAGGGGAAACGCCATCAAGTCCTACGACGGCCGATCAGACCCCCAGGAACACTTCAGCCGTTATCAGAACAACATGCTGATGGTGAACGCGTCAGACGAATACCTCTGCCGTTGGTTCCTCTCTACTCTCGAGGGGCCAGCGTATGAGTGGTTCAACGCGCTCCCCGAAGGGAGCATCGACTCATGGCAGGATCTTGCCCAACGCTTCCTCACCCACTTCGCCGGGAGGAAGCGGGCGAAGAAGTATTTCACCCACCTTGGGAGTAGTTATAGGGGTTACAAATTCATTCTATTGAAGCATATTACTGCATTTCTCTCTCTAGCTCTCACTTCTCTCTAGATATACTCTATCAATTGCTTATAAGGATAGTAAGATGGCATTATTACTTTTTACATTGACATGACAATATTCTTTATCTTTTGTATTTTTATAAGGATAGTAAGATGACGTGGCAATTTGTTCTACTCTTCTTTCTAGATCAGAGATCTAAACTCATATCTGGAGTGGTTGCTCCATAGAAGGTTGTAGAGTGTGTTGTAGACTGTAGAGTGACGGCGGCGTTGAATTAGTTGGTGGTGACACCGGATGAGACATCGGCAATGGATGGTGATGCCAGAAGAGCCTGAGATGTTGATGGCAGTGATGCCGGAGATGGAGGCGGCGCCAGTAACGGCGAACATGGCGGCAGTGCAAGAGATGGCAGTGGCGTCGGAGATGGCGGTGGCGTCAATAATGCTGGAGATGGCTACTGCCTTGTGCGAAGCATATGTCGTGTATTGTGTGCTACCTTTTTATATGTAAACTTTAATTTTGTTATTTTATTTTGTATTAATAGAGGAATCAAGTTTTTCATTAAGGGTATATTTGTCTCCTACTATTAACTTCCGCGTGCCAAGCTATAGGTGGGATAAGACTCCTATTTTTGTATTGTTGATATGTTTTCCTCCTAAAGTGGGAATTCTCTCATCAATTAATTATGTGCATCATTTCGATCATTCCCATTATTCGGAGAATTGTTTTCAACGCAATTATACATAAATTTGTATACGAATTTTTACAAATTTCTCACACATTATACGTTATTGTCTATACTCACGGAGAATGTATAAACTGTTGGAAGAAAGTAGTCTATGAGTATTAAAATTGGGTGATTGTGTGTGGAAGAGAGAATTTTAGAGAGAGATGATTTTTGGAGAACTTGGAACTTTTATTGATTTGGAGGTTTTGGCTTATCTTACAAATGAGTGAGGAGTGCTCTATTTATAGGTCTCGTAGGAACCTTGTAGGCACTCCTACTTCCTTAACCTTCTAGAATATTCTATATGATTCTAGCTTAGGAGTAATCTAGAATTGTTTAGGTACATTAACTACTCTAGATCTTTCTTTACTAAGTCTATCTTATGGGATAGCTAATTTATTATTTCTCATACAACTACTAACCCAAGTTCACTTCTAATGGACCCAATTATTGGGCTAAGCCAAGTTTAATTTCTAACATACACTCCCTAATTGTTTATGTACACGAACAACTCATGCAACATTGTCTATTTATACAGACAATTACGTGAGTCCAGCCCCTCTCCATTTTTTCCTCTACATTTCTCATCCATTTCTTTTTTCCTTCATATCTATCTCTACCTTTTTGTCTATCTTACTCACCAACATACTCCACCATAATTTCTCTTCTTTCTACCTTTTTCTCTATCTTACTCACCAACATACCCCACCACAATTTCCCTCCTCTCTATCTCTCTTAGGGGTGGGCATTTCGATTTTCGGTTCGGTTTTCTTCGGTTTCGGTTTAATCGGTTTGATAGAAAATGTACCAAATACAAACCGATTAAGTTTCGGCTTGGTTTCGGTTTGGTTTCGGTTTGGTATGGTTCGGTTCGGTTTGGAGTTCGGTTTACCAAAGTATTAAGGTTTGGATTGAAATAAAAAAAATAACTCAAAATAATGAACCAAGAAGCGATAGTAATGAACCAAATATAATATTAGATATAAATTTGCAAACAGTAACAAAACACATATGAATCCAAAATATATAAGCATGACACATTTGTAAGCAACAACAACAACGGGAATGAATCAAATTATATATAAAACCGAAACAAAAACAAAACTGGTGCTTGTAAGTAATGAACCAAATATATAGTAGTATGAGATAATAAATTATAGTTAAATACTATCTACTTAAACCACTATAATTGTTATAGTTGTGAATATAACTGTTATAGTAAACTCTAGTCCTAGACACTAAAATTAAAGAATTAAAGCTTCAAAAAGATTAACATCAATCAAATTAATGAGAGAAATCTTATATTTTGGTTTGGTTTAGTTTGGTGTAAGTTGGTTTTAATTTGTTATTTTAAAAAAATAAGAAATTATTTCATTTTTATATTAGTTCGGTTTTATTCGGTTTTATTCGATTTTATGATTTCGGTTCGATTTAATACGGGTTGGGAGGAATACTACCAAACTCAAACCAAATTACAAATGATTCGATTTCGGTTTGGTTTAATTCGGTTTGGTGCGGTTATGCCCCTAATTATTCACAATTACGTCCGGATGGGGTGCAAATTGGGCAGAAATTTTGTTTACACGAGAGAATTGTTAAAAATATTTACGAGTACCTTATAAACAGGACCGAACCCTCCTTCACCGAGCTTGTTGTGATCGGAGAAGCTGTTAGTGGCAATTCTGATAGTGGCAAGGTCGAATTGCAAGCACTCTGCCCCAACGTTATCCCCCTTCGTCTCTGAAATCAACCTACCAATACCTCCTGACTTTTGCTTCTTTCGCCTGAAAATGACCACAGCAGCAAGCACCAATAACGCAAATGCAATTGCTACTCCAACAAACAGAATAGTCCGAGATCTGCTCTTCCGATCTGCACATCCATAAGAAATCGGGTCGCTTGAATGGAAATATGGAATTGTATACCTAACGTTTATAAATGATTTTAAATTTAAACAGGACATGGCATCCAGTTCATACTTTCGGAATTCGTTGAATTGGCAGCGGGAGGAGAAAGCAGGGCCGTCGGAGATAAAGCCACAGGCGGAGGCGGCTGAGTAGAAACAGTAAAGGAAGAGTTATAGAAGGGATACAGATCCCAGCGAAACAAACAGTTCGGATTATAGGAAGCTCCTCCTTTGTTTTTACCGCAACAGCTCTGAAAATCACCCACAATTCTCGTCAAACAAGAGCCACAATCAGATTGAGACAGATCTGGAGTGCACTGCGCCGTCGCGTATATTGTTTGAAAGCTCGGTAAATTCGTTTGGCCGGAAGCATACTTGATCTTCGTCCCCTGAGAAGCATTAGCTATTAAGCTGGAGACGTGAGGATCCAAAATCTTCCTAAACGGGCTTACTTCATCCGCTTCGAACACATCCGTTCTAGCAACTATGGTGTTAGGAGAAAACTCCAGTTCTCCGAAAAAGGATCGGTTTGAATACCTGACGATACAGGGAACGGAGCCCTCACTTGCCCAAACGATGGCTTCCATTTGATTTGGGCAAACATCTGTGAGGTTTTTAGTTCCGGTAGTGACGCATTTGGTGCAAGTTTCAGAGGTCGAATCGGCCCTGCAAAGGGCAATTCCATAGATTTTGTCCACGCCCCGGCCTACTGTGGTGTTGATGAATAAGCCATAGCTTGAGGTGATGTTGGTGGACAGTTTAGAGAAGAGGAGAGCTCTGTTCGCGGCGTAGGTACTGTTGGCGGTGAAGTTTCCGGCCGTCTGAGAACAAGTTTGGGCGGCAATTTTAAGACCATTGAAGATCGTCAGAAAAACGAGGAAAGCAGAAAGAATGTTCATGGAGTACTTCAAATTGTCCACGTGAAAATTTAAGGTCATTTGCGTGATTCAAATCAATAAAATTGGGCCGTTGTTAGCTACTTATAAATATGGAAATCGCATACATAAAGTGATTATGTTTTATTCCAAAGTCGGATTTATTTGATCTTTTAAAAGTATAAAATTTTCTCTAGGAGTAAATAAGTCATATTAGAAAGAAAATAATTATTGTCATATACTTCCTCCGTCCCAAAAACAACTTCCCACTTTCCTTAAATGGATGTCCCAAAATTAACTTCACACTTCTTCCCACTTCTTTATTTGGCAAATTATCAATATCAAAACAGTGTCAAACAGTACCAAACAGTGCTAAACAGTGTCCAAACAGTGTTCAAACAGTAAAATTTTGGGAAAGTCAAACCAAAATTTTAATCTACCTAAATGTGTGTGCTAGTCAAACTATGAAGTTGTTTTTGGGACGGAGGGAGTATTTGTATATGTACGTTGTTTATTTTTAATCATATACAAGAAATTTTCTGTGTAAATAGGAGTGCCAATGTGTCCAAAATGAGATGGAAGCCGGTTAAAATTTAAAACCAAACTCATGCTAACTATCTAGTTTTGAGTGTTTTTGTGAAAGATGAATACTTTTCACCTCAAATTAAGGATACTTGTAAACTTATATCTCAAATTATGGCATTTTTTTCATATTCTCCCATTATCATTGCAATATCATTACAATCGCAACATCAATTATTCCACATCATAAACATATTTCCTAACCTAGAATACTTTTGTATGAATCTGTTTTGAAAGATGACAAAATTAATATGGGACAATAACAATAATCGTGTATCAAGAGTAGCTAATCAAAGTAAAAAACAACTAGGATCAAAATTGAATTTATTCTCATTAGCACATGAATTAATTAGGGAGTACTTCGCAAGTTCCCATTTCACATTGAAACAAATTTTGACTAATTGACATTGACCTTCAATCCATTTACTTAGAAATTGGCCGTTTACTTGGACTTTCCAACTCCCGCTAGAAGTCATCGCGGAAATGCAGGTGCAAACCATGCATCCAAGTTGACGGAGTCGTCTCTAGTAAGGATGTTTTTATTTGGACAGTAATTTGCTGGTCTGGTCTGGTCTGGTTTCTTTGTATTTTTATAACTATTCAAGTCTGGTTTGGTCTGGTCTGGACTGGTCTGGTCTAATCTGATCTGGTCTGGTCTGGAATGAATTACAGTCCAAGTAAAAACATTCTAAGTACGTTATTCTAGTCGCTAGTAGATTGTATCATGATCAATTTCGAAACAAAGGAAAGAGAGAGATTGCATACCTACACTTTGGAGTTTGGAGTACTTAGCTTTGATTCAAGTATACAATTCTGATTGGTCCATGTGAACAAATGTATGATAGATTGATGATATATGGAATCCTCCGATTTTATTACCCTAATAATCTAAAAAGAAAATGAAATTTAGGATGGACTTGAGCCACCATGCTATAAATAATACGGCACATAATAAGAAACGTGCAAAAAATAAAAATAACAATATACTTCATTCTTAATTAGTTCGCAAGCACTTTAATCTTTGTACTAGGTAAATACATAATCTACCTTGATTACTGCTTCTTTGATAACGTATAAAATAGGGAACACTGACAAATAGGTTCTCGAACTTTCTTAAAAAGGTCAATTATGTCCTTCTATAGAAGGTTCTGTCCGGCCGTCACGATTTGGGGCAGTTTCCGGTGGAATTTTTTTATAAAATTTTTTGAGCATCTTATTCACAAAGTCTAGTTTACTCATACCAAATTTCAGCTAACAATTCAATCAGGAACTCATTCAAATTAATTCTTGAAGATAACTGCGCATTTTTGCGTTCTCGAATTAATTTGAATGCGCTCCCGATTAAATGCTTAGCTGAAATTTGGTATGAGTAAACTAGACTTGATGAATAAGAGGCTCAAAAAATTTCATCAAAAAATTCCACCGGGAACCGCCCCAAATCGCGATGACCGGACAGAGTCTCCTATAGAAGGACTTAATTGACTTTTTCATGAAAGTTCGAGGACCTATTTGACAGTTTTCCCTATAAAATAATATTTTACAAACTATTATACTGCATTTATCCCAAAATACTTCTCCATCTCTTAAAATTTGGATCAGATTTTGATTAGTATAATATTATGGAACTTGTAGATTTTATACTTTTATGAATTTTTTTTAACATAGAACATTTTCATAGCATTTTTATATTATAAATAATTTCCAATAAAAATAAACTGTTCTTCAAAATTTTAAAGATTACCAATTGATTATATACATGCTAAAATTAATACGAGAATTCTAATACTATGTATGTATTATTGATCGTAGATGACTCGTTAAACGTGTTGCTCATGCTCTCGCAAAAGCGGTGATTTCTATATCAGATTTTAGATAATTTAGTCATAATCATTTATATTTAATTTTTACACTTAAATGACTATAGATTATACTATAATAACTACTAGTCATATTTTTGTAAATAAATTTTATTTCAATAATATTTTTGATAATTAAACCTCTTGTGATTTTTTTCCCATGATTGTATTGCTAGCTAGTATTATAGGAAACGATTGTTTGATTTAGCAGTATTATTGTGATTGTCCATTCTTTCAAAAAAAAAAAAAAAAAATCAGCATTTTTAGTACTCCGTAGTTTTTAGTAAAACCAAACGAAGTACGTAGTATATTTTTAATTTGATATCTTATATTCGTACGTATCGAAAACTATTCCTATACTTCTATTATTAAAGAAGTATACTAACTGCATCATTTTAGAAATGATTATATAATTATGACAAAAATAGGACTAGTGACTAGAGTAGTATAATGAAATCATATATATAGTAATTTATATTCAATTTTTTTAGTTGCAACGGTCAACATTTCACATTTGTCAACGTACGTCTTTGACCGTAATTATATCTTAATTCTATTAGTAAAAAAAATATTAAAAATCTGATTTTAAAAATTTGTAATGAGATGAATTGAACAATATTTTAAAAAAAAATCAAAAAATAATAGCGTAAAATGTAGTCAAAGTAGAGCATATGAATAGTGTAAAATTCAACATGTTGCGATTAAAACAGAACGGAGGATAGTATATTAATCATATTTTTATAAACAAAATTTATTTTAATAATATTTTTGAAAAAACCGCATTGTTTTATAGGTTTACATACTTTTAGTAATAATAATAATCTTTGCCTATGTAACTGATTTAATATACCTACCAGAAATTGTGCCAGGCATATCAAAAACAATGTACGAACATGAAATAAATCATTCAAGCTACTTTTTATTGAAAAATTATACGAGTACACAATAATTACACTACATCCGTCCCAAAAAACTTTGTCATTTCATAAAATTTGAACCATGATTTTGATTAGTATAATATTATAGAAGTTATATATTTTATACTTTCATGAAAGTACTTTTAACAATGAACATTTTCATATAATTCTTATATTATAAATAATTTCCAATAAAAACATATATAGCGGTCCGCTACCGCTATATTGGCCGCTATAAAGCGGTCGCGGCAGCCTCCGCTCCTACTACGGGCCGCTATTGTGGTGTGAAATTCAAATCATACCGAAATCCACTACGTAACCGCTACACTACTGCTTCAATCCGCTACACCACCCGCTACGCACCGCTACCGGACGCTACACGCCGCTACCGGCACCTCTGGCCTGGCACTGCATCACGAACTAGTTGATGTATAAATGTTTGAATGTTTTGTGCATGGTGTGAAATACATTAATGGTGGTGCATGAAGTGAAGCTCTAAATTAAATGTACATGTATCGGGTATGAGACCAAACTTTTCCAATGTAAATGCATGTGCATGCTCACTAAAAATGTTGTAAATGTGGGCTAACTAATTGCTACTCTCTCAGCCCAAATTGAATTGCATATTTGACTTTTTGGGATCAAACTCACTCATTTTTATCACTTAATTAGGATATCAGTTCTTAATTAAATTTTAATATGAATTTTGCACTTTAATAGAAATTTTAATGTAGTTTCTAAATATGTAAATTTTAATTTTTAAAACCGAATTAATTATTAATAAGGATGATGGGGAACAAATTGTGTGAGGAATTGGAGCACATTTAGCTATATACACACGAAGATGAGGAACAGATTGGAACATATTATATCATTTCAGTACATGTTGAGTTGTGTTTGTAATGTGTCATTTAATGTAAGAATCTAATTAATTTAAGAATGTGTTAAGACTTGTTTAGTTTGAAGACATTTTTAATTGTGTTTGTAATAATTATTTAGTTTAGCAATCTTTATAATTATTATTCTCTTTTAATCGTCATATATATTCTTATTGGTTGATTCGTTGTTCACATATAAGTGTTCAAACAAGTATTCATAATGTTCCTATTACCTTCCACCCATTAATTCTATATTGTGCGCACTTGAAAATATATCATGCCGTTGTGACCGCTACACATATCGCAGCGGCCGCTACTGTGATGACCGCTGCCGTTGCCGCTATTTAAAACCTCGGATATAATTAATCAAAGTTTGTATAATAATACTTAGATTAGAAAGTGATAGTTGTGCATCTAGCTTGAAAAATAAAGATGTTGGGGGTCAAGGGTATACACAGAAAATGTATACCCCTAGTTACTTGTGTACAGGGGTGGAACTGTTAGTGGAAATGTTAGAGAAGGGAGAAATAGAAACTGGAAGAGGTTTGAATCAAGAATGCTCCTTAGCTCGGTCAGGAGCTACACGATGGGGTTCTCATTATACTACCATCATTCGATTGCTATTAGTATGGTCTCCCACTCTTGAAGTGCTAGGTAAGATATATGACGATGGTGCTGATTTTAAAAGTAGAGGATTGGCAGGAAGCTTAATTGAGAAGATGGAGAGTTATTATTTTGTTTTTATTGCTCATGTGATGAAAAAAGTATTAGGCTTGACATATGTTTTGTCTAAGTTTCTGCAACAAAAAAATCAGAATATTCTTGAGGTTGTTAATTTAGTTCAAACTACAAAAGAAAAGCTGCAAGATATGAGGGAAACTGGATGGGAAAGTCTTGTTA